CGAAACGTTAGCCGAAAATAAATATATTTATCAACCTCGTGCAAGCTTATCAAGAAAGAATACATATCTCAGCAACGTTGCGGTTGTATTTCGCTTAGTACCCTGCCGCGAAATCATAGTAGGCAAAAAATAAAAAGGTATAACACTGGTTACAGTATTGACTGGCAAAACGATTTACCAAAACTGAGAATTCTATTTTCATTTTATATGTAGAATACCTGACGTCTCAACGAGGATCGTAAATCTAGGGTTGGACTGCAGTATCGGCTTCAGACTGAGCGTCTCCTCCAACAGCCTAATCGCTTCGCGATCGAGAAATTCAAATGACGACAATATTTCAGATAGATGACGTCGAGCTAAACGCAGAACGCTGCAACACGATTCGAATGTTTCGACGCCTAAAATTTCATGGTTAGAAATTTAAAACTGAATTTAGTTGAGTCTAATAGTTTTTCGAATGAAAAAACCTGCTTCTTCTTTCCATGGATCACCCTCAATAACAACCCCTATGGTTTAATTGCAAGAGTACGAGGGCCGTCCTCAGATGGTGGAGAAGCGGTTAAACATGGATCAAAAGCACCTTGTGTTTCACTAAAACTAAAGTACGAAGTAACTCCCACGACCGACTTTCTATTAACCTCAGCATTGATCAAGTAATTCTTCGTACTTTTGCTGAGCAAACGTGAGGTGTTATTATTCTTTATTCACGAATAAGCTGACGTTTCGGCGGATTTCGCCTTCCTCAGAGCCTGGAAAGGTCAAGTTGACAGCAATCTATTCCGCCAGACGCCTCCATAACTAAACGAAGAAACTCTAAACCAAGATTTCAATCACGTTGAACACAGCTTTGCACACTCACCGCTTTCTATGAGGTTTTCACCAAGTATGTCACGTAGAGACCAACCGCACAGAACCTGTGTCCGCATAAAAGAACAGCTAGCCGGCAAACATAGACCAAATACACCGCTAGGCACGCATAGGACCCAGAGAGGGGAGGACTTTGAAGTATGTGTCACGATCCTCGCGCAAGAATCGACAACACGAGCGCGTAAAACTCTAGAGGCATTCTGGATTAATTCCAGAAATCCGAAAATGAACCGCAGGGAAGAATGCCTCGTTATCACGCGCTATATTGGACAGTATATAAACCTGTTATTCTGATGGGAGGAGCACATTACGCTTCCACATGAATTCGGTGCGGTCGGTTTTCACGCGACATACTCAGTGGAAGACTCATAGAAAGCGGTGAGTGTGCAGAGCTATGCTAAATGTGATTGAAATCTTGGTTTAGCGTTTTCTCTGTTTGGTTATGGAGGTGTTTGGCCGAGTGGATTGCTGTCAACTTGACCCTTCCAGGCTCTGAGGAAGGCGAAATCCGCCGAAACGTCAGCTTGTGCGTAAATAAAGAAATAAAATAGCACCTCGTGTTTGCTGAACAAAAGTAGAAAGATAAAGTACGAAGAGTTGCCAAAATATCAGGCATTCCAGGTCGCGTGAACCTCGAGGGACTACGGTGATGATCAGCACTTTCAAGGCGTGATCACTTATATTGGAAACCTCTATAGAGATCCTAATCATGAACGCAAAAAATAGAGGGTAAAATGTAATAGAACTGGGTGAGAAGAGGCGATACCACCCATTTAACGCTATCTGCGATACCGCAGAAAAGCCGTTCTTCGGAACGAACTGATTGCTTATTGCTGATGACATCGTTCTTATAACATCAAGCACTATTAAGGCGGTATGAATGCTCACCGACTTTGACAACGCCCTGGAAAGATTCGTCTTTGAGTAAGACTAAGAAAAACGATGTTCATGGAAATAGATTGGTAGGCCTCATTCACTCTCAACGGAATGAATATCTAAGAATGCACCACCTACATCTGCCTAGGTAGGTAAATCAAGATGATGAACGATTTAGCTCCAGAGCTGAGTAACTAGGAAGCGATAAGCAAGGGACTTTCAAGACCATGGAGAATATAGTGAAGAGAACGAAGAACACCCGACTCCGTGTCCACCTTTTCGACTCCACGATTCTTCTTATCTTAATGTATACGTTAGAAACCTGATCGATGCGTAAGCAGAATGAAAAAGCACAGCGTTATAGAATGCGCAGTGAAAAGAACAACACTAGGAGTATCCTTTACCACGCAACCAGTAGTGGAGATACTCTAAGCACCAAACTACGTCAACGACCAAGGATTGCAGAAAGCGTTGTGCATGCCAAAACGTCGAAAATCAGGTGGACCTACATGTAGTACGTCTGAACGACAACGGATTTAAAAGAACTGCTAGTGATTGAATTCGTCGGGATGTCAAAAGCAAAAGCATAGAGTTCTTCATGAAGACCCTAGAAAAAAGATATGATTCTCAACGAGTTCCTAGGGCGAGCAAAACCCACTGGGCTACCCTTGTATGCGTCTGAGACAAATGGAGAATTTACTGGAGTCTGCTCGAGTCACTCAGCAATTGACGGGACTACAGGTGATATAGGTGGGGAGATCGCACAAGAGAATAAGGGGAGTCACCCATGACTATATTCTCGTCGAAAACAGCAAAAATAAACAGAAGTATGAGGAAATTATTTTCATATCGTTCGAGTAAGAGAAGACTATATACATAGTTTTATTGCTGAGCGAATTTAAAGTTTTCTGCAGGTCACTTGAGTTAATAGATATTTAACAGAGGCACTGGTGATAACGACAATTTTAAAAGAAAAGATCTCACCTATCATAGCACTTTGGACCGAAGTCGGTCTCGGTACTGTAGTCATCGTAACATGAGTTATTAATCCAAGTTGTCCCTCACTACCAAGAAACAAGTGCGGAGTGTGTAATGAAGTGTTGTCTTTACGAAGAGCTGACCCGAGTTTTACTACCGTACCTTCTTCTGTCGGTAGTACCTGCAATTAAAAGCAAATGCAAATGGGAAGATCTAAAATTTAACACCGTGATTCTAGCGAAATCTAATTTTGCGCTTTTCTTCTTATACTGATAACGTAAGAACTGTAAAACTTCTGGTTCACTAACTGACAATCATACTGATTACGACGCGAAATTTCAGTTGCTCATGTCCGTCTTTACAAGGAAGAATAAGGGGACAAGGCGGAAGTGACGGAAACAGTCACCAGGCAAGCATTAGAATACAAGAAGATCCATGGTAGAGATTATGAACAAATGAACACACCACAGTGAGTCCCAAGACATGTGCATGAAGGCTACCGTATCGAAGCAGCCGTATACCGCCTGCGTTTGTCGCCACATTACCACCAACCATACATGAACCTTTTGCACCCAGATCATACGGCATCATGTAGCTTAAGAAGGAATGAATAACTTTTTTTTGTAGGAAAATGGTCAGAGTAGTGACTTCAGCCAACACAGCTCCCTTCAAAAAATTTCTATTATCGAAAAGAAGATCTAAAGTAAAGATGACAAGCATTGGCCTGAACTTTTTTGAATGACATGACTAATGGAAAATCACTGAATTATTGGAATCACCCATAGGGAGCAAGTCGATTGTCCAGTTCTTCTAAGAGGAATCCAGCGTCGCAACTAAGTGTGCCTAAATTGGTTACTCGTTTAAATACGTGTGCTCTATTTGTGAGCTCACATTAGACTACTATGGAAATTCTGGGCACATCTGGAGTAGAAGGATGATTGTTCGATGTATGACAAAATTCGGAACGAAATTATCAACCCTTTCTCAGTGCGGTAAAAATGAACGTCTTAGATGATTCTCACCATCTATGCATTTTAATTCCCTAGAAAAATTAGAAAAAAAAAACTAACCAAGCCGTACGACAGCACCTGGAACAGATTTCTTACGGAGAAAAACAACGAACCAGTATTTTCATTGAAGCTAAAGTTTTGTCTGATACGTTTGATGGATATTATTACTTCATCATGCACTGGAACTCCGCCTCCGACGAGTCCAGTATTTCCAGCCTGAGTGTTTTTTCATCATGTTTACCTTTATTTGACTTAAAAAAGTGTGAAAAACATCTATATTTAGTACAGAGGGTGTACCAATGGACCAGAACCACTGGAAGTGTTCTTGCGGACTCATTAGTTCCTTTTAATAAATTCAATCAGAAAATGTGAAAAAAGGAACACAAATGCATCCAAAGCTGCCGCTTTATAGCTAGTACCGCATCGAACGTCAAAGTTCTGAAGAAGAATTTCCATAAGCCAACACTCTTGTAAACGATGCGTTTCAGAAGTGTTATTCTACACGGCCTAAACGTATGAGAAAAGAAGGAAAGATAAAGAAAACAGTTTATTAAGGACGAGTAAAATGGGCATACAAGCAGCGATGGAATAGGTAGTCGAGATGGAATACGGTAATCAAGTGAAGCTATGGCTTCGTAGTACGTACCTGAAGCACTACTGCAATTTTTCTTCGAGCGCAGTGTGCTAGTAAAGCCGACACCTCTTCCGTTGTGCCCGGCAATAGAACACAGGTAGAATTACCTATGAAAATCCTCATTGCTTACATTAACCTTCCTTCATGTTCTGCTTTTGTTTCGCTATAAGTATGAATTCTCGTTTATCAACGAACAAGGTTAAAATGTTTAGACCTATTTTTTTCATCTCTCATAATCTACTTCTAATTGCAACCAGGGTAATCAAGAATGTGCTCCGATCTTTTTCACATTAGGAATCTCGCGCAGATAGAACGCTAAACGGGAACCAAATATGATTAGGTATTTTCTCACTGAAAAGCTTACACAACGGGCCCGTGTGGCGCAGTGGTTGGAGGCGCCACTGCGACACACACGTGGAATCGATCCTCGCTCCCATGGCCCACCAAGCCTTCCATCCGTCCGGGGTTGGCAAATTGGTACCAGACTTGTCTGGGAGGATAGCAACACTGGCTCGATACATAGGTAGACCACTACAAGTTATTGCAGAGGCCAGATATGCATACAATCACCTCCAACGATACGTAATGAAGTCGAATACATGGCGCATCCTCAGAGATTGATCAACGCCGAGAACTTTACCCTTTTTTAAGCTTACACGAGGTCGATAAACAGCGTTTAATCGCCTAACGTCTCGATGTCTTCGTCTTCATCAGAGGCGATCATCCGAGTCGATGGGCCATATTTCGTACCGAGGTTAAAGAAAAGTCCGTTTTGAAATATCATTTTGTGCTTGTTCTGATACTGAGAAAATGGGTCCCTTGACTCTATCACATAGACATATCTTTCATAAACTCATAACAATACGCATAATTATGTGGACGCATCTAGTAGCATAAATGCACCTTTGAAAGCTTTTGTCCAGTCAGTTGTATAGCTGTCAATGCCCTCAGTTTTCACATAATTCGGACCGCAAATCGACTCGAATATCCGGATATCCGTGCTCTCAATTGTGGCGAATCGAGGATCTCGAGCCATAGTAGCCAACAATCTTATTCCATTAGTCAGCAATCTAAGCATCTAAAGTGTCTCAGGAATATATATATATATATATATATAATATATATATTATATATATATTATATATATATATATATATATATATATATATATATA